AATGACACTATTAATGACATTACTTTAAAATAAACTGACTAAATACATTTATTAGTATACACATATATGGAGTGACTCATTATAGTATTACCTGGTGGTATTGGTTGAGTCCTCTCTCCTTCATAAATGATTCCATTAACATTAAATGATATAGATATAGAGAACAAGTAGTTCAGATTAGGATCTAATCCTCCTATTAGACCTTCAGTAGTATCACCTGGGAATACTCTCATTCCTGTCTCTACTTGTCTCTTCTTTCTTGAGGAGCTACTGGTTGACTCATAATAGGCAGTATAATGACTAGCTCTACGGATTAAATTCCACTCAGCCCTCACTGCTGTAGAATTGATCTTTGTTATAGAAAAGGTTTCAATGAGAGCTAAAATAGAAAATACCAAATACAATGATACATTAATTTACTATTCCTTATGTAATTGCTTATGTTATTTTAATTGTTTACATATTTGAGCAGTATTATATTCTCTATCAGTCCATTCTCCTGGTCCAATACTAGTATATGCTCTCACTCCAATAGTATAACTAGTATTAGGTATCAATCCTACTATACTGTAATAAGTGTTAGTAGTGTTAGCTATATTGTATGGACCAGTACTGGTAGACTCTCTATATCTTATCTCATGTGCTGTAATGATACCATTAGGTATTGTAGGAGGATTCCATACAATATTTATTGCAGTTGGTAACTTTCCATGTCTTAAATCAGTTATCACACCAGGAACTGTGTTAAAATCATGTTAAACTGATCAATATCTCATTCACTTACTTGATTCAGCAGTTAATTGCATTTCTTGTCTAGCTGGTCCATTCATATTATAATTATAAGGTATTATACTCATAGTATAGTTAGTATATGGTATTAATCCTGTGAGATTATACATTCTGTTGTCTCCTCCAGTGATATTAACAGTATAACTAGTGTTTGAAGTGATGTTAGTGTATGTGAGGTAGTATCCAGTGATTGGTCCATTCCTTCCATTGCAAGGTACTTCATCCCATGAGACAGTCATTGACACTGGCTCTACTGATGTGAATACAATATCATCCACTGGTGCAGTAGGAGCTAGAGTGATAATAAAATGAACAAATGACTATCAATATAGCAATTATTATCTTACAAGTGGAAAGTGTTTTAGCTGAATAATTTGGAGTCAAATCAACTGTAATGTCATATACTCCAATAAGATCAAAGGCACATTGACTGTAAGGAGGTATACCAGTTGAAGTTTGTGGTGATGAAACTGATGTTTCACTATTACCAGTTTTTGATGATTCACATACTCTCCTACAATCCCGAACAATATTATAACTAATTGGTACTACAGCAGTTGGTGGACTCCATGTTAATGTAATAGAAGTACTTGTAATCAATGTAGCCATAAAATCAGTAACTACTGGAATACCTGAAGCAAAAAATTACTGACATATTTATTGATATTTTAACTCACTAAACATTAACGTAACTGAAGCATTACCACTAGGTAGAGAATCTGATCCATAAGATACTACATAGAAAGTGTAAGTTATTCCTTGAATCAATCCTGATGTTATATTGATTGTTGTGAAGCAGTAGTGCCTACACTAACAGGAGTTAAAGTTGAGAATTTACTGAAGACCTCATAACCAGTAGCTCCAGATACAGTAGACCAGGAGAGTCTTACATGAGCTAAACCAGTACTTAATCTTGTAGCAGTTAAACCAGTTGGAGTATCAGATACTGAAAATATAATTTAATGATATTAATAGTGATACTAATGACTAACCAGATATACTCAATGATGAAGTACTACTAACTGCATTAGGGTGACTATTACCAATAATAGGACCACCAGTTACTCTGGCATTAAATACAGTACACTGATAGTTACCGGCTTCTCTCAGTCTCACTGTTACTCTCACTCTTGTAACAGATCCTGATCCATTCACTATCACACGAGACAGTTCAGTAGATATTCCATTCCCATTCACTGAACAACTGACAGTAGTAGGAGGACCATCAGAGACATTGAAACTCAGACTGAAGACTGGAGGAGTAGCTAATCTACTAGTGGAGAGGAGAGAGAACTGCATAGTAGGATCAGCATCAGGACCATCTGTAAAAGAAGTACATTAATTATAGTCTATATTCATCACATACCATTGTTATTGTATACAGTATCAGTATATGCTCCAACAACTAGTGTTTGATTCACTCCATTCTCATCAGGAATGATACACTTGTATAAACCTTCATATCCTGATAGTCCACCACTTCTAGCTAATGCAATCTGACCACTGAATCTCTTACTGAACACTGGACTAGGAGCTGATGAATCATCAATAGGTCCATCAAATAAAGGTACTTCAGTTCCATTAGGATAATACCACACTCCAATATTAGTAACACCGTTAGCACTCTGACACCACAAAGCATCATTGATATCATTATCATCATTATCCTCATTTTGATCATAAAACTGGCTAGCATATATCATAGAGTAATCAGGTATTATCCTACCCTCATAAGGTAGATACAGTCGAACACCTGAATATGAGTATATACAGATCTAGAAATTACCAAAATTTATTTCTTACCATTACTGGGTAAGGTGGAAGGTGCTTGTCCAGATACAGTCATCAGTTGAACAAGCAGGAATAATAGAAAGCAAGACCTGCTTAACAATGCCATGTTTCTTTTCAATGTAGATTCTATTGTTAAGCTAACAGAATCATGTGATCTTGTATTATCAGTTGTTGGCACAAAAGTGTATTTTACTATCTATGATACACTTAGCTTAATAAAAATAATGAATAATTGTTATGAGCCACGCCCAGTCAATGAGCTACGCCAAAGATGGCTGGCAACAACAAACAATCAAGAAGCTCATTTAGGTAAGCGACTCATCCCTTAAGGCAGCCACCATCATTATCCTGACATTTAAGGGAGTACTACCATTAAACTGGGAGAGAGCTGAAATGATGATTGGCAATTCATGATAATTATTGATCTGCCCTCAATATATTTGAGGGCAGATCAATAAAATCATTAAATCATTTAAATTATTAAAATCATTAAATTACAATATCCATGTACATGCATTTGAATTCACTATAGCACATGTACATTTGCTAATAATTATTTTCCAAGTATATTTATTATATATTTTCTTTTATTTCTCTCTCCAGATCCAGTCTCCATTTGTTGAGGATTTTTTAAAGTACACTGCCACCCTCCAGCAGGACAATACTCCTCTACTGGACATTCTCTGGCGCTATTATGAACGGAATAAGAACTATATTGCAGCTGCTAGGATACTGGACCAGCTTGCCAGAAAAGAAAGGTAAAGTACATTATGTACATGTACATATATATAAGTCACCTACTACAGTTACATGTACAATGTATATTTAATTTGAATTAGTTTATATGTACATGTACATTAATCTTTGTGTTTGTGACCTCTTCTATATCTTGTTCTCTCTCTCTCCCCCTCTCTCCCTCAGTGTTGAGTTAACCCTCTCCAGGAGGCTGGAGTACATATCAAGGGCGGTGATGTATGCTAAGAGCTGTGGGTCTGTATCCAGTGTCAGTGGTGAGGGAGAGTTCCTTCATGAACTGGAAGAGAAGATGGAGGTAAGAAAGAAATAAAGAAAGATTACATGTACATATACTTTAGGGTTGGTATTATTAATTGTGTTCGTTTTTTAAAGGGGCTTAGATGTGTCATGTTAGTGAAAATATGTACATGTAGGAACTACGTCATACTGAAATTTGCATTTAATACTTTTGAGTGGAATTTTGTGTACATGCAAGTGTAAATGTACACATAGATGGAATGGATGTTTCCTAATTCTTGTATTACATGTACATGTACAGTGAGTTTTTATCTTTTTTACTGCTCCTCAGGTTGCTAGAATACAGTTGTCCATATTGCAAGGTATCCAGTCCCTCCATCACTCACAGCACACACAACAAGCTATCACTGAACTAAACTCAAAACTGATGGACGTCAGTCAGGTTAGTACATGACTACATGTACATGTATGTACACGCGTATGTACATGTAGATTAAAGTTTAGATTTTGATTATAATGTGCTCAAACTTTCTACATAGCATAAGTACATCAATATGTATCAGAAAATGTAATAAAAATCGGAGGTGATTTTTTAGCCATTTTTCGGAAAAAACCATGGGCTATAGTACAGGGATTTTTTCAGAAATTGGCCAATTTTTAAAATTGGCCATAACTCGAAAAAATTTAGTCAGAATCAGCTGAAACTTTTTACAGAGCATAAGGATATCAATGTATATCAGAAAATATAATAAAAATTGGGGGTGATTTTTTGGAAATAACCATGGGCTATAGTACAGGGATTTTTCAGAAATTGGCTCATTTTTTAAAATGGCCATAACTTTAAAATTTTTAGTCGGAATCAGTTCAAACTTTTTACACAGCATAAGAACATCAATATTTTATCAGAAAACGTAATAAAATTGCTTGATTTATAGTATTGTTCTATTTTTAGTTGTATGGTGAGTTTGCTGATCCGTACAATCTCTCAGAATGTAAGTTGTCCATTGTACATTGTGCTGGCCATTTTGATGTCACACTAATTGAATCACTGTGGAGTGAAATTATAGAACAAGGTAACAATAATATACTTTATGCATCAGTACTGTTACTGTAGTGTATTGTATGTGTTATTTCAATTGTAAAGTTATTCTTACACAAAGCCAGTAGTAAAATTAAGACCAAAATTTAGCAATTCGCCAAATTCAATTCCCTCCAAATTTCCCGCTATACGGTATAAAATACTTCACTTCTCATGCAGAGCTCCAGTCTACACTGGGCAATGATAGGGACACTAGAACGCAGAGTATGAGGGACAGGCTACTGAGACTTGGTAAACTGTATTCAAGAAATGACAGCTACTTTCCAACTGGTAAAGAAACTAAAAAACTTTTATAAATTATGCATCTGATTCTCTCTCTCTCTCTCTCTCTCTCTCTCTCTCTC